TTTATTTATTTATTTATTTATTTATTTATTTATTGAGATAGAGTCTCTAGAGTCTCACTCTGTCGCCCAGGCTGGAGTGCAGTGGCGTGATCTCAGCTTACCAAAACCTCTGCTTCCCAGATTCACGCAATTCTCCTGCCTCAGCTTCTGAGTAGCTGGGATTATAGGTGTGCATCACACCTAGGGTTTTTTTTTTTTGTATTTTCATTAGAGACATGGTTTTGGTTTCGCCACGTTGGCCAGGCTGGTCTTGGAACTCCTGACCTCAGGTGATCCACTCACCTCAGCCTATCAAAGTGCTGGGATTACAAGCATGAGTTACCACACCCGATCCTCATTTATCTTTTTATCTTCACAGCCCTAACACAGTGCCTTATATACTTTATTATTTATTTGAGACAAGGTCTTGATCTCCTATAGGCTGGAGTGCAGTGGCCTGCCCATGGCTCACTGCAGCCTCGAACTCCCAGGCTCAAATAATCAATCATCCCACCTCAACCCACCTCCCTACCCCCGCCCCCATAGAAGCTGGGACTGGAGGCACATGCCACTATGCCCAGATAATTTTATTTATTTTTTTGTAGACACAGGGTCTTATTATGTTGTCCAGACTGGTCTCAAAACCCCTGGTCTGAAAAATCCTTCCACCTTGGCCTCCCAAAGTACTGGGATTGCATGGTCTTGAGCCACTACGCCTGGCCCCTTATACGCATTTTACAAATGTTTATTGAATGGACATGCAATTTAAAAAGAATGAAATTCATTTGGTCAAAATAACAAACCTAATTGTGGAGTTTTCAAAAGCATTTCATTTCAAACTAATAAAAGATGTTCTTTATATTTCTCATTAGCATAATTCTGTTTAAACACAGTCACATACACAAAGAAATGCTGTTTTCTATTTTCTAAATAGAATACTGTACTGACATAATTTGGGTTTTGATTTATTAAGATTTTGTGTTAGCTCATGGGACTATGAAGCCTCGTTAGTAGTCATTCAGACTGTTCACAGACTATTCCAGTTCTCCTCTTTCTGGGCACATGGTAGAAATGCATTTCCCCATCTCCTTGAATTTGGGTGTAGTCAAGTGACTTTTGGCCAGTGAAATAGCAGTGGAAGTTACATGTGTCACTTCCAGACAGAGGCCCTTAAGAGCCAATGTATGCCAGGTGCGATGGCTCAAGCCTGTAATCCCAGCACTTTGGGAAGCTGAAGCAGGTGGATCACAAGGTCAGGAATTCGAGACCAGCCTGGCCAACATGGTGAAACCCCATCCATACTAAAAATACAAAAATTAGCTGGGTGTGGTGGTGGGCACCTGTAATCCCATCTACTTGGGAGGTTGAGGCAGGAGAATCACTTGAAACCGGAAGGAGGAGGTTGCAGTAAGCTGAGATCACACCACTGCACTCCAGCCTGGGCAGCAAGAGCAAAATTCAATCTCAAAAGAAAAAAAAAAAAAAGCCAAGGTACAATCACCACACCCTTTTCTCTGTCCTAACAACTGTGGAAGCACATGTTGAGATACTGCCTCCGGCAGACTGAGATTGACCATTTGTAATGGAGTTGTCTTGCTGATCTGCTTGGGCATGTAGTATGACAGAAAAAAATTCTTTGCTGTTTAAAATCAATAGGATGTAAGAGTTCTTTTGTTACCCCAGCATATATCCTGCCTGGTATACTGAGTAAACCCCTTTCTCATAAATGGAGTGAAACAATAACTCTGGCCCTCTATTTTCCAAATGGTATCATTTTGTACAGCACTATCATTTAGAGAATACTTTTCTCATTTAGAGGATACTTATCCAAACTCTCATCATCCAAACACAGGAACTGAATGGATTCTGATACATTTTTAGATCAACACCTCATTCTCTCCTCTCCGTACTTGCCATCTTGAATTCTGGAACCAAATACATTTGGATAGGTGCAATTCCTTGCCTTCCAAACTCTTGCCATCTGCACTCAGGAATGGAATAAATTTAGACATTGAAGATTCTTGATATATTATTTCATTTGCACTCTTAAAGTTGTTTTTCTACTACCCAGTACCCAGTAGATTCTCAACATTTATTCCATAAATGAATTCATGTGCTGTCATCATTCTAATTTTACAAATAAAGAGAGAGGTTCATCAACTTGCTGGAAACAACCCTGCACACACATTAGTGGCACAATCCCAGACTTTCTGGTTTCAAATCTTCACTCTTTCCACTCTGTACTGTGCTTTCTTAGGTCTCTTATAGTTATGGAATGCTTATGATAGTAAATTAACAGTACAAATAGTATTTGTGATAAAAAATGTCAATCACATATTTACATCCAAGAATAATTAAAGTCATTCCTCAGAAACTTCTAATTGGCTATACCTAGTCTACTTCATAGACACTAAGTACCCTAAAGCACAGAATAAGGAGGTGCCCTACAGGTCCTTCAACAGGCAACTTGCAGAACAATGAAGAAATGTGAAAGAATCAGGGGGAAAGTAGGGTTCTCCTTTGCTACACAGTATGTTAAAATCCTGACTTTTAGATTATCTTCACTTTGGTCCTTACCAAATTGGCTAACCTCAATTCTTTGCTTCCCAATTCTCCTCAAACCTCAGTTGTAAGAAATACTAATGAAGAACTGCCCAAAGAATAGACAATTCATCTATTTTTATTTTTTGAGATGGAGTCTCACTCTGTCACCCAGGCTGGAGTGCAGTGGTACCATCTCAGCTCACTGCAACCTCCCTCTCTCAGGTTCAAGGGGTTCTCCTTCAGCCTCCCAAGCTGGGAGGAACTATTGGTTCCTCCGGATAGTTCTAGCTGGAACTATCCAGCTACTATTGGTATTTTTAGTAGAAACGGGGTTTAATCGTGTTGGCCAGGCTGGTCTTGAACTCCTGACCTCAAGCGATCCACCTGCTTTGGTCTCCCAAAGTGTTGGGATTACAGGTGTGAGCCACCACACCCAGCTAATTAATACATTTTTATAGGTTCCGTGGACCTCAATTTGTGTTACATAGTCAAATAAATTTGGAAAAGATCACAAACTATATCCCTCTTTAAAACGGCAACTTGAAAATTAGCATAGTAAATCTTCAAGATATTCCGTAGCAAAACTAGTTAAATTTTCTAATCTACTTATCTCAAACTTACTTGAGCTCAGAATCTTATTGCAAGAAAGTATTTTCTCATTCCTTAGAACACAGTTTGGGAAATACTGTTCTAGATCATTCTAAACAAGTGACTCTTTTAGAGAACTTATTGTTACGGTTCTATTACTCTCCTGTATTGAAAAACACTGTTGTGCAAAATTCACTATTTTTGGTAGGGGTGTTTTAAAGATATTGTCTACGGCATTCCATAGCTCCTTTTTATTAGGGCCCATGAGGAAATCTGCCTCTCAGGACTCATTACTGGAAAACACCTTGCTTAGGGCAGAACTGTTTTTTTTTTTTTTTTTTTAATCTTGGAATTAAAACACAATGAAACTTTGTTTTATTTTTATTGATTTTTTTGAAACAGGGGTCTGGCTATGTTCGCCAGGCTGGTCTTGAACTCCTGAGCTCAAGTGATCCGCTCACCATGGCCTCCCAAACTGCTGGGATTACAGGCGTGAGTTACCACGCCCGTCCAAAACAGGCTGAAACTTATGTTGTTCCTTTCTCTCTTTTTTTCCTAGTTCCCAGGAAGCCCAAAGCCCAAACTGTGACTCATCTCTAGTACAGGATCTTATAAAAATGAACTTGATACTATCTTTTTTCTTGACATTGTATTCTCTTTCTTCTCTACTTCAATTTTCCGAGTTTGTTTTATCCTATGGTACTAACATGGTCACTAATTTGCTTCAAATATATCGTTTCTGCAACTATATATTGTATATATTGCATCTTTTTACAACTTCATGTTGATTCCGCCTTTCCTGTCCCATGACCAACAATGTCAGCGTATTCATCTTTGTGTAAAAGTATTCCCTTAAGTCATAACAAGCCAATAGGGCACACATTCACAACGCAGTCAAATCTGTAAATGCTGAAAACGAGGGGGGGGGTCATGAATTTTTTTTTTTTTTTTTTGCCACCAGAGGTCTAATAACCAAAAAGTTATGAAACTGTTTCCTAACAGGAAGGAGAATCAAAATTTATTTAGAACCAGCAGCTGCCAGGCACTTAACAGCAGCTCCCTTTTTCAAAGCAAGCAGAAGGGGCATTTGCACATCCATCTAATCTCTGAAAGAAGGCAGCAGAAACAATATTGGGAGGGTGCAGGGGTGAGTGGAGAGAGTCTGTCTGTCCCTTTTGTATCTTTTGAATTCTATGAACTAGTCGACTATTAAAGAATGTTTTAAAAAATGAAATGAAGCGATAAAAAACGACAGTAACGCTTTACTCTTTGACCCAGAAAACTTTTTCCGCCAGCTTCTGATCCCGCAGCACGCACTGAAATAAATGCCTAAACGCAAAAGTTTCACCAGGCACGCCGGGTCCGGGGAAATGAAGTCCCGGTCTTATTCTCCCCCACTCCGGGGGCGACGCTATTATTTAAAAGAAAAACTTAAAAACTTAGGTCAGAATTGCCTGCAAGTAATAAGGAGAGGGAAAAAAACCTCTGAAATGGTTTCCCGTTTGTTTTATTGGCAGGGACAGTCCACGAAAGCAGCCACTTGTGCACAGCAGTCCGCTCCTCACCGCCGGCCACCAGCGCCGCGTCCACAACTTTCCACAACTCGAGGGCGCCCCGGGCCGTGGCTCCAGCGCTCGGGGGTGCGCAGCAGGGAGGCAGGGCCGGGGTTCGAGCCCCGGGCGCGGTATGGGGAGGCGCTCCCTCGGCCCAGCCCCTCTGGACTGAGGGGCCTCGCAGTCGCCTCCATGAGGGGCCGCGTCTTCCCACCCGGCTCGTTCGGGGCGGCCGCGGCGGGGCGCGAGAGTCGCGTGGGGGCGGGGAGCGGGCCCTGCCGCGCGGGCCGGCCCGAGGCGGCCCCCTCCCGACACCGAGGAGGAAGTCGCACTTACCGCGTCGCGCTCTGGAGGCGGCCGGGGGTCACGGCGGGCCGGGGCGGCCAGGCGGGAGGAGCTGGGGAGGCGGGGGCTGGGGCCGGCGAGCTGAGGAGAAGGATGCTCGGCCCCTCGCGCGCCCCCAGCCCCGTCCCGGCAGCGTCACCCCCGGCGCCGGCCGGCCCGGAGCGAGACACTCCCGCTCCGTCAGGCGGCACCAGGGTTGGGGGTTAGAGTCCCCGGACGGCCCCGGAGGGGGCGGGCGAGTACGTGGGGGTCGGGGACCGGCTCGCCCGTCAGTCCCGGCGCGGCACTAGAGGCTGCCCGCCCCGCCCCCTCCCGTCAGGCCCCGCCCCGCCCCCTCCATGTCCCGCCCCCTCGGCGGGCCGCGCTCCGCGGGAGACCGCGGCCGCCACTGCTCCGCCGGCGGTTTCTTTGCTCCCCTGCGCGGCGTGGGGACGGCCGAGCCGAGAGGCGGGGGAATAGGGGAAGGGGAGCGGCTGTGGCGAGGGGAGTTAGTGAGGAAGGGGACGTCAGCCTGGGCGGGACTCTGGAGAGGAGGGGGCGTGGCGTAGCGGGCCTGACAAAGATTCTGGTTGTTCCCCGCCCCTTGAAACTGGGGTTAGGGGAATTCCTGGAGGTGGAAGTTAGGAAGAGGTCCCTCTGCAGGGCGGGAAGGCCGTGAGAGAGGCGGCTCTGTTGTCTCAGAGCTTAGAGGGAACTCACCCAGTCTCGCCTCTCTTCTCCAGCCCAAGTAACCATTCCCCTTGCAATAATCTGATAATTATTGTGCTTTAGGTGGTGGGTATGTGCCATCGCAATTATGATCCTCAGCGCTCTGACCATAATCATTGTTTTCCAGTGTTGGGATAATAAGAATCTGAAAAAGTAGATTCTTTATTCATTCCTCTACCCAACATTGAACTCTTCCTATATGCTAGGTTGTGAGAATAACAACTAATTTATTTGGCGCCTTATGAAAACACTAAATTACTTTATATGTTAATTCACCATCAGGTTTGAGCAAAACAGCTACTGGGGTCCCTGCCCCCAGTAGCTCATGATGCATTAGGAAGGGAGGGATTTCCGTACTTTGTCTCACAGTGATGTGTAAACCAAATGCCCATCAGCTTTTGGTTCTTTAATGTGTATGTTTATCATTCGTAGATTGTTTGCTACTCTGAGCTAGCTGTATGGTGTCCGTCCGTGATGGTTGAATATGGTCATTCTCCCCCAAATAACATTTGCTCAGGAGATCTTCACTATGTCTCCATAATAAAAACTCAATGCAAGCAAAGCAAGTGGTCCAGAAGACTGATAATCAAATAACATAACCGAACTGTGGTAGCAGCCTGGGGTGGCTGGGAGATCTATTTAGGGATGTTTTGTGCACTTCCACTTGGGGAAGTGGTTAGGAAAAAACAACAATATAAAAGAATGAAGCTTTGACGTGGACCGTTCAAAGGGAAGCGGATGGGACGATTTAAGATTGGTACAGTCAGGAAGAAGATGCATCCCAAACTCTCCCAAGGAGGGCTCCAACCGCAAAGTACAGAAAACATTTTTTTTATCCGAGCTATGTGGAGGAGACACCCTCCACCTCATATGCAATGGACGCCTACACCCGTAGATAAAAATTACCTCAGTAACTTTAAGTATAAACGACAGTTATGTAAACAAACCCACTGCTTGAATTTTTGGAATTTGGTACTATGTTTCAGCCCTTATTGGATTTTTCAGTGTTAACATTTGTGTACATTAACAGCAAATGACATTCTTCTCATAGTTTTTTCTCCCCTCCCTGCTCATAGTTACTTGTTCAGTTTTGGATTTTTAGTTCAGTATTTTTCTTTCAGGTTATAATGAGAAAGACTAGAAAAGCATTGTAATCCAATCAGATTACGATTGCGGTAATTCCTTATTTGGCTGGTGGCTCACGCCTGTGATCCCAGCACTTTGGGAGGCTGAGGCAGGCGGATCACGAGGTCAGGAGTTCGAGATCAGCCTGACCAACATGGTGAAACCCCGTCTCTACTACAAATACAAAAATTAGCTGGGTTTGGTGGCGCGCGCCTGTAATCTCAGCTACTCAGGACGCTGAGGCGGGAGAATTGCTTGAACCCGGGAGGCAGAGGTTGCAGTTAGCTGAGATTGCACTCCAGCCTGGGCTACAAGGAGGCACTCCGTCTCAAAATATATGTATATATATATCTTTAAATAATAGGCATTCCCGGCAGGGCGCAGTGGCACACGCCTGTAATCCCAGCACTTTGGGAGGCCGAGACAGGCAGATCAAGATGTCAGGAGATCAAGATCATCCTGGCCAACATGGTGAAACCCTGTCTTTACTTAAAATGCAAAAATTAGTCGAGTGTGGTAGCGCGCACCTGCAGTCCCAGCTACTAGGGAGGCTGAGGAAGGAGAATCATTTGAATCGGGAGGTAGAGACTGCAGTGAGCTGAGATCGCAGCACTGCACTCCAGCCTGGCGACAGAGCAAGATTCCGTCTTAAAAAGAGAAAAAGAAAATGAAATAGGCATTCCCATACACGATTTTTTTTCCAGGTGAAATATATTGTTTGTTCTACCCTGAAACCTATTTTATTTACTGATTTGTATTTTCAGCTCATGTGCTCCATCAGCCCAGTCAAAAGGAACGTCCCTTGTGATCCGGCTCCCTCCACCGGCTCTCACTCTGGTGGATACTGGACTCCTTACTCTTCTGCTAGCAGGCCAAGTGCTTGCCCATGCAGCCTTCACATGTTCCACTGTCTAGCACGCTCTTAGCTGTTCTCACAACTAACTCCCTCCTCCATCATGTCCCTTTTCCTGACTATCCATGTAAACCTGTAACCCACCCCTAAACTCCCCACTTCAGCACTGAGCACTACCTGACATATACATCTGTTTGTCTCTCTACTCCCACTGGAATGTAAGTGTCATGAGAGCAGAACTTTGTTTTGTTCACTTTTAAAACTCCAGTGCCTATTATTTACCATGTCTGTCACATAGTAGATACTTAACAAATATTTTTGAATGAATGAATGAATCCAAATAGGAGAAATAGCTTGTATTCCTTTTGTAAGGCCAAATGGCTTTCATGCAATTTATCTTATAACTGAGTCATGTGACTCAGATATATTAATAAGATCTAAAACACAGCCCACATTTACCTTATTTAAAAGTAGAATTTGGCTGGGCACGGTGGCTCATGCCTGTAATCCCAACACTTTGGGAGGATGAGGCAGGCGGATCACTTGAGGTCAGGAGCCTGAGACCAGCCTAGGTAACACGGTGAAACCCCACCTCTACTAAAAATACAAAAATTAGCTGGGCGTGGTGATGGGTGCCTGTAATCTCAGCTACTTGGAAAACTGAGGCAGAAGGATTGCTTGAACCTGGGAGGTGGAGGTTGCAGTGAACTGAGATCGAGCCACTGCACTGCAGCCTGGGCCACAGAGTGAGACTCCATCTCAAGAGAAAAAAAAAGTAGAATTTGAAAAGGCTTTTTATCTCTCATTCTGGCAATACTAAGGAACAGGATTTGAAGAAGAATTCACAGATAAGAATTTATGCTGAGATCTTACAACTTCGCCCATAAATGGATCCACAGAATCAGAGAGAATGGTGGATCAATACATGCTGTGAAAGTCTTAATATTTTCCATGAGAGGAAACACAGCCATGATAAGAAAATTTGACAACTCTACTGATAATCTGATACATGATGTCAGTAGGATGTCTTTTATGAATGCTTAAATTATTTTAATTGATAATTATGATGATGAGGTTAACAATGTTTTAGTCTGGTTAAAGTGTATTATCAATAGATAGTAAAGAGAGCGTAACCCTAGTATGTAAATACCCTTAATAAAGAAATGGTCTGATTTTTCATTTTCTGCTCTGCCTCCTGGGTGTGCGGGTGGGGCAGATTAAAAGATTAAGCTATGATTATATGCATTATGTATGTTCAAAATCTGGATCTCAGGAATGTGATCTCTTTTAGAGGACCTAGGATTTCTTTTAGCAGTATTTCTGCTCTCCAGATTTCGACATGAACAGCCTCCTGTGGAAAAAGTCTCATTAAAATAGAGATCTATAGAAAAATGACCAGGTCATACCCCTGGAAGGCGAATCTCCAAATCAGGAGAGACAGGTTGTCAAGTAAACCCAACTAAAAGCGTGTCCCCTTGAAGTTTACCTCATATTCTCACTCTGGTTTCTCTTGGTTCACTTGGAAATTTGGCCCAAATACAAAAGATAATAATAATAAAGAAAAGACAAGAAAGAGAATTTCCTTAGCTCTCTTAACCACAGCTAAACCAATCTAGAATTTTCTAAGTGAACTTTGCTAAAATCTAAAGGAAATAAAAATGGAAATTATTACTATTATGGAAAATGTAAGCAACACCAATAATAACTTTATTCATTTGTTCAGCTTCTCTTCTACAGTTTCCATTCTTCTAGGAACAAATTTTCATCCCCAAGGGGAGATATAAATTTGCAGGCAACGTGCCTGGTTTCCTTCTCTCTAGGCTTTTTCTCTGCACAGTAAGGTCATTTTTCTGTCTTATTATTTTTTTTCTTTTTAGGGTCTTGCTGTGTTGCCCAGGTGGGAGTGCGGTGGTGTGATCCTCCCACCTCAGCCTCCCGAGTAGCTGGGACTACAAGCCACCATGCCGGCTAACTTTATTTTGTAGAGACGGAGTCTTACTATGTTGCCTAGGCTGGTTGCAAACTCCCAGGCTCAAATGATCCTCCTCCTCTGCCTCCCAAAGTGTTGCGATTACAGGCGTGGACCATCACACCTGGCCCCCTTTTCTGTCTTTCACATGGGTGCCGCAAGCCTGTCCCAATCACAGCCAAGTCTAAAAGCCCCACTTGTTCTCCCTCACCACTCTTTTGATTAGAGGGATGTGGCATAGTCCGAGTCAAACTGCGGGACTATGGAGACTGTCCTAATATATAAGCTACTTCTTTGGGTGAGACTCACTCTTTACACCTGTTGGGAAGGTCATTACCAACCCACTGTCAGGCCACTCCTTGTGATCCCCACAGCATTCCTGAAAGAACTGCCCCACACGACATAGGGGACATGGGGAAGGAATGTGCATTCTCTCATGCACGTATTTCCATTCACCCATTCATAAGTAGGTCTCCTATAACCAGGCCACGGTTACTGACTGAATAAAAAGGTCTTAGCAAAAGGACTTTCCATACTTCCTGCCAGTCTCCTTAACCTTTCTAAAATACAAACTTAATTCTGTTCCTCCCCCAGGACCATGCTTAGTATGCTTTAGTGATTCTATTGCTTTCAAGGTGTAAAGTTCAAAAACCTTAGCATTGTTGTAAAGTCCTTTGTAATCTAACACCTGTTGTCCTCTGCAGCCCTGTGCCTATTCAGCATCCAGAACGTATCATTTCTCCCACACCTGTGCTTTTAAATAA